AGTGCATGTCCTATGCCAGTCCCATGTGCAGCATGTAGCGCAAACCCTGGACTGGAGCCAGCATATATTATATATGGTGTGGGGACTGAGACTTCCACCAGCTCCTATGTGCTTGTCCCCAATCCTATGGTGATGTACCATCTATTAGGGCTGTGTGAAAATATGGCAGCAGTTTCATTTCAGAGGTGTTTTGGCTCCTGAAACACTGAATCTGAAACAGAAGGCTCCAAAACATCTCCAAAATGAAGCCGAACCATCTGAAACAGAAACTCAGAAGAGGAAGGGGGAAGAGGAGGAGACTGACTGCTCTGATATTGATATCTGTAGCTGGCCAGTGTCTGCAATCTGTCCCTGACGTCCCCCCTTCCAACCCCAATGCTCTGGGGGAGGGACGGAGAAAGAACATATAAGGCTGTTTGTGAACTGCTGTCTGCCTTTTGCGAGATCTGTCCTTTGCAGCATGAGCAGCAGAGCACAGCATCTGAAGGGTCTAGGGGGAATCTGAGTTTGGCCCTCACGCACCACCTTCAGCAGAATGGTGGTGCCTTTCCTGTATGAGGCATGCAGGGAGAACCTGAGGGAGGAGCTGTAGAACGCAGGGCCTCAGGAGGCCTTACACTTCACCTCAGACATCTGGAACAGCTGGGGTGGAGATCATGCCTACTGCTCCCTCACAGGGCACTACTGCGATAAGTCAGGCCGTTGGCGGGCTCTTCAAGTGGAGGTGATGGATGAGTCCCACACGTCAACGGAGATCATGGGGGGCCACAAACCGCATGGTGCAGGGTTGGTTCATCGGACAGGGAAAGTTCACCCACAGGTTCCTGGTCACTGACAATGGGGCCAATATGGTTAAGGTGGTATGTGATGCCAACTTTGTTGGCATCCACTGTGTGGCACACAAGTTCCATCTCATAGTCAGGGATGCCTTGGAGGGGGACATGGCTGCCAGTGAGGGTGCCATCACAACCAGCCAGCTCATTTCAAAATGCAGGAAGATGGTAGGCTACTTCCACTGCAGCAACAAGAGGGGCAAGATGCTGCAGTACAAACAGGCAGAGCTGAGCATCCCGCAGCACAAAATCATGCAGGGTGTGGTGACTCCGTGGATCTCCACGTACCTGATGCTCAAAAGGCTTGTCGAGCAACAGAAGGCCGTCCATGAGATGACCTTGCTCAGGGAGATTGGGATCAGAAGCCCCCTTGACAAAACAGAGTGGAACACCATCTCCCAGGTCTTGGTGGTCCCTCAAGCCATTCCTCAAGGCTACCAAGAGCCTCAGCGTTGGCAATGCCCTCCTTAGCCAGGTGATCCCCAGAATGAGGGAGTTTCAGAACCAAATGGAGAAGTTCCAGGGAATCAATGTACCTGGCTGAGGCAAGCCAATGTCACTAGAGGTGCAGGCACTGGTGAATTGGCTGAAGAAGGGCATCAACGAACAGCTGGATCTGCTGTGGTCCACATGCTGGCAGGCATCTGCAACCCGAGGGTGAAGGGAAGCGTGTGCATCAGCAAAACCCCCGATCACTGGACAGAAGTGCTGGTGAACAGAGTCAGGGAGGCAGAAGGGCAGAGGGAAGTAGAAAAGGGGGAACCACTGTCCCGTGCCAGCATTCCATCCACCAGTCAGTCTTCTCCACCACAGGTGCTACCATTGTGGGCCAAGGGTATGGCTTCCATGTTGGGGTCCAGAGGCACCAGACACCAGCATCAGGCAGGTAGTGCCAAGACCTCAGTGGCTACTATCTCACCGAGGACATGAAGCCACTGCTGTGAGACCCTTTGGCCTACTGGGCAAGCCGCAGCCAGATATGGCAGGATCTGGCCACAGTTGCCCAGGAACACCTCTGCTGTCCGCTGACCAGTGTACTGAACAAGAGGGTGTTCAGCACTGCTGGGGATGTTGCACCTTCTTGGATCCTGGTTTGGTGGAGCAGCTGGTGTTCCTCAAGGTGAGCCTCCTGCTGCTGGGGTTCCCCAAGCTCCACATGCAGACGGAGTGCATCCATCCACATTTAATTTCTTTTTTTAATTTTTTTAAATCATTTAATACCCCACTCTCAGAGCTGGAGGTGGGACTCACTGCATCACCAGCCAGCAAGGGAAGAACATGTCCCTGATGAGCTTCCGTGCCAGAATGAACTTGGAGGTATGGACTAGGGCTATGGGGAAGGAAGAGGCCCCAGGTCCTGGGCATGACCTAAAACTGCATCCTGCCAGGGTCAGGAGGCCTGGTGGGACTGCTGGCAGTGCAGCAGCCCCCAAGAAATGCCAGGACCACAAACCTCCCTGGTGAAAGGTGTGTAGGAGGCACCTTATAACCTCCAGCCACCACATGCGCACACAGTCCTGGCTAGGGAAAAGCCCAGACCTGTAAAATCTTTGAGAGGCCTGAGGCTTGCTGGTTTCAGTGGAGTTGTGAGGCTCCAGGTGAGCTTAGCAGCCTGGGATGCCATCTGCAAGTCATGGGCCACAGTATAGGGAAGGTATGGAGCTGCGGAACGGATGTCACCCCTAGACATCAGGTGCCTAAATGGCCAGCCTCCTGCCTGGGAAACATGTGAATTGGTTTTCCATCAAGGCATGGCAGGAGAAAGAGGGGTGGCTGGTTGGCGGGCCAAGATCTCACCCACAGTGGGAAGGACCCCTGTTACAAGTTGCCATCCCTGTTCCATTTATCCCACTCTGCCTTAACACTCACAAGACAGACAAGGGTCTTTGGGTCAATCTGATATTTTTTATTAGATGGACTGAATAGTTGGAGAAATATATCTTAGCAAGTTTTTGGGTTTAAAACCCTTCTTCAGGCCAAGGAAGCACCTGCAGTTGGTGTGTGCACTCTTCCTGGACGGAAGGAATAGTAAAGAAGCCAAAGGCTGGCATGCAATGCAGGCAAGAAAGCCAGTCAGTGAAAATGGAAATGGACTTGTCAGGGAGTGAGGGACAGGCTGGGGGGGAGGGGGGCGCGGAAGGGGGATGTAGCAGGTAAAAGTGGAGAAGTACCTGGGCAGTCAGATGTCAGGCGGGTTAGAGTGTATTATAAGTCCAATGTCTATATTGAGCACATGAGTTTCTGTATCTAGGAGGTTGATGAAGTGAAGTTCACAGGCTCATCTGTGAAAAGTGGTTTGTAAATTCCCTTTGAGGATCAGGCCTGAGAGATTGGAGGCAGAGTGGTTTTCTTGTGAGAAACGTGCCCCCACAGGTAGTCAGGTATTCTTGTCTGTAATAGATTTCCAGTGTGCATTCATTCTGGTGTGCAGTTATTGCTTGGTGTCTCCTGTGTATTTTCTATCAGGACATTTGGTGCACTGGATGAGATATATAATGTTTCTGGAGGTGGAGCTGTAAGATCCAGGAGTGGTGATGGTTCTTGTGTGGGGTGTAGTAATTGTTGGGTGTACTGAAGATATGTTGGCAGGTTTTGCATTTCTTGTCATGACATGGTCTGGATTCATTTGGTGTGTTTTGGGCTGTAGGAAGTTTGTTTCTGGTGATGTGGTTGGCGAGGTTCAGTGCTTGTTTGAATTTACAAACCACTTTTCACAGACAAGCCTATCAACTTCAAGTTTTTTCAGAAGTTTGAGGTACAGTTTCACAGAAGCTCCTGTACCTATCTCCTTGAAACTTGGCAAGCTTCATGCCCTCAGAAGAGGCTACCATCCCTGCAATTCTCATCCAAATCAGGCAAGAAATGTCAAAGTTACAGGCATTTTAGTGTTTCCCCCTTATAGCCTATGGCCAAATCACCATAATGGCATCAAAACTCAAACAGATTTGGCCGAATTGAAATGGTACAGTGATCCAAAACACCAAAACCAATCACGGTCCCTCCAAAATGGCCGAATCTGAATCAAAACATAGCCATTTTGCACAGCCCTACTATCTATCTCCTCATCTCTTCTGCCTGTTCATTACCACCTCCCTCCAGCTTTTCAGCTTTTCTCCTCTGCCCTGGTACACCTGATCTGGAAAGGGGGCTGTGAGCAGTGCTGCACTGAGCTGTTGTACACTCCCCACTCCCTTCCTCAACTTGTGAGAATGGTATCTGCTGTCCCATCCACCTCCTGCCTCTGAAATCTCTCAGTTACTCTGTGAAAGGGATATGAATGCCTACTTCCAGAAGTAGCTGCTCTCTCCCTGGAGGCAGGGCACGGAGGAAGATGGCAGGGCTGAGAAACTTCAACAGGGGCCCAATCACATTAGTAAATGTGGGTTACCAACAGTGCAGTGGAAAGTGGCAGCCATCTTTACTGGGGGAAGCCTTATTGTCACTAGAATAAGTGAAAGTGTCCAGGAAGCCATTTTGCTGAGGGCAACCTGTATCTTCTGACCCATTACCAACAGTAGGAGGTGGTGGCCACTGTGAGGACAAAACTCTGATGTTGAAAATAGGCCACATGAGGTGCAACTGGTCTCAGAGGGGTTCATTGTTTAGGAAGGGCATGGGATGCTATTGATCATTTGGGGCTTTACCCAATGTAGAGGGCTGAGACATAACAGCCAGTTTGGAGGGTCATTGCATCCCTAGCGGCTCTGAAACTATGCTGAGCCCTAAAATACCCCAAGGTAGATCACATTAGGCACTGATCGCTAGCTCAAGTTGTCCCCCAGTGATGAGAGAAATGTGAGGGAGGAACCACATGATGAGCAGGAGAGAGAGGAGTACACACTGTTTAAACGAAAAGTCATTACTGATAATGTAAAATTAGTCACAGAACCATGAGCCTAAGACAGCAGTTATAAAAGACTGAGGCTGTAACAGAAACACACAGAGCAGCAGCCATATACAACCCACAGTCCGGCCCAGACACCAACTGCCACTCGGAACTTCTTTTCATCTCTTCACAGGAGGAAGTGAGCAGTGACAGCAGCCATTGTGGGCTGGTGTCCACAGAGAACAAGAGCACCTACCTGAAGCCCAAACAGATCAGAGGAAGTGGCTCAAGTAACTGCACAAAAAATGCAAAGTTATTGGCTGGTCCCACTCTGGCTGTTGATGCATCTTATAGTTGGAGGTGGTCACTGCTCTGTTTGCAATTGGAGGGAGTCGTTCTCAGTTAAACTCTCCCTTTCTCAGAAGCAAGTGTCGGGCACTGTCCTTCAGTTCGCTGCCGATGAGCCCCACCTTCTGCAACACCCTTGTACAGATGAGAACCTCTGGGGAGGGCCTGGTCCAGCCCTGTATTTGGGGGCAAGAGTTTTCTTCAGCAAAGATGGCTTTGAGAGCAGCCTCCTACCACTTTCCATCCCCAGCGAGTTAGTGAGTCCAACAGCCTTAGTCAGTGCTGCCACCTTTGTGAAGCAAAATCAGATGGCAATGGTGATAAATGGTAGGGTCTATCTCTATATCTTTGCAGATGAGGAGAAATGGCAACCAGCAGAGGGGATCCATTCCCCAGTCACGGACCTCTCCAACACCTACTGCTGCTTCTCCTGGCAGGACCCGATCTGTGACAACATCAGCATGACTCTTTTTGCCTATGCGACTGGGCATTCAGTCTCCGAGAGCCAAATCTTCCTATCAGAAAATGGGGGTTTCACTTTTAGACTTATGAAGTTAAAATCAGCTCTACAAAATGTGCTGCTTGGTGTCTATAATTTTATTTCCCTCTCTGTTACTGGGTTACTAATCAACAATACCCAAGAGGATGAAGGAAAAGGACATGGGGCTTATTTTATATACGTTAACTGGAAGAGGAGCCACGAGGTCTATCGCAGCTCCACAGTCTTCCAGCTGGTTTCCAAAGAGGGTGCTTCTATCCATAATATCCAGCACCCTAGCCTGAGGGGCTACATCATTATCTGGACCAAGAGTACCCTGATGCTTTCCTTCAACAATGGCCTGATTACAGAAGCAGCGACTATTCTGCCCACAGAAGAGTTTCCAGGCACTTCTCTCCCTAATACTTCTCTATTCCATGTAGCCATCAGCACTTCTGAGATTGCAGTCTTCACCCAGGAGAACCAGCTGTTCTATGGCGTTCTTGGCATGTTTTCCACTTCCATGGTACTTACAGAAACAATGAACACCACAGATTTAGGCTGTTGTGTGTTGCTGTTTGAAAGGACAGGAATACTGACATTGCTCAGACCCATCCATAACAATGATTCCCACATATATAACTTCCAGAAATGCACCTATAATATGCAGTCACTGCTCATGAACAAGTTACATCCCATGCAGTATTGCATACTGGAGGTCCTTAGCGGCAACTTTCATAACAAGGTTTTTTACATTGATATGCACCAGAGGCTGAACTTCACTGCCACCTTTGTACCCAAACGTGGTACTGGGGCCTTTCCTCTGGTGACTGTGAGCAATCCCCATGTGCTGAGTTTCCAGGCACGTGTGGTACAGGATGGGTACACACATGACGGGAATACCAAGTACAGTTTAAGCATACTGCTGATGCAGCAACGCTTCTCTGACATGGCAGAGCCCCACTTCTGGGCTGACTTACTTGAGGGTGGTGTGTCTATCCTCAATGTGGATTCTCCCAAGAAAGGTGTTTTTTGTGCTGACATACTTCCTTTGTCTGCATTTATTCATGTAGGTTGCCCACCTATGAAACAGATTAGACTTTTTAAAAATGCAACTGCTTGCAGTAAAGAACTCTTTCATCAAGACTTACTACGAAATAATTTCACTTACATAATCAGCCATGATATATATGACCCAGAATTTCTTGCCAGACAAAACTTAGAGCAAAGCGACCTTCGAATTCAATATGATTATGAGATGCTGGGATGTCCTCTTCTGGTATATCATGATGATCCTTGGTTGCCAGTTCTTGAGTTATGGGAAAACAGTGAATTTGTGGAGTACGTTTCTGCTGACTTTGTTATGTTTGAAGTAAATGGAATTCATAATTATGATTATCTCTTGACAGCTGTAGAAGCCAATTGCATCTCTCAACCTCAGAATTGGACCTCTTTGCTAAAAGAACAAGATTCTCCAGACCCAAATACTGCATGGAACAGAAAGAATTACATAAACTGTGAGAATCCCAATGGACCTAAATTAGTATCGCCTTCAGCCAAGTATCAAGTTCTTGGTGGAAAAACAAAAAACAAAATAATTTTTTCACAGTATAATGGATTATACATCTTTAAAGCTATTGTAGTGGACAATTTTTATAGTTATTGTGAGTTGTCTACATATTTCTGTGTCTATGTCTATGGTGCCCTCCCAAGCAGCTACATAAATCCTTGGGTAGCGCTAACAGTTTTTTTTACTATTATTTTTATTTCAATTTTGATGGGATATATCTTACCGACATTATCACTCATAAAAATACCCTCAAAAGTTAAAATATCCTGAGCTTATTTTGTAAACTGTGATGTTCAAGAAAGTTACTATGTTAAGAATTATCATATCTCACTTGTATAGGTCAGAAGATTAAATTGTATTTTTGTTATGAAATCAGTTTTATAACAAATGAAAGAATTGACAAAAAGGAACCATTTTGATGTCTGTTTTGTAACTTTCTTATACATGCATTTTTAATATGCTAATTAATTTTCTCCACTTTTTTCTCATTTTTGTTTTATAATTTTCTGACCATCTTGTTGCTTGCATGAAGAATTCATACTGCTATTTTATTACAGGGACTGATTTTAGGGTTACCAGCTTTTGTTGATGCAATCAATTACATTAGCTTACTTCAAAAGGTCTCCTTTCCTCAGGAGGAATAAAGATCATCCTTGGAGCCTGTCAATTGCTTTTACTTCAACAACAGATCAATGGAAATCGAAGCTTCCTCTATATTTGTACTCCTTTTGTAGTTAAGATGCATATTTCCTACCTCTTCTCCCACTTGCAATATTAATGTTCATTCAAATATTCTATTTTATTGGCTAGATAATAGTATTCTGAGGCTTCATCTCAGTTATAAGACACTTTGAACAAAGACAGTTAAAAAAAACCCTTAGTTAAAAGAAAAAAAGATATGATTCTACAAATATTTAATTGAGTGACACTTGGCTTTAATATACCTACCTGCGTTAGTAAATATTAGACAGCATGAATAAAAGTTGCAGAATTTAGCCCCACCAAGTTAAATATACAAGTCTGTTTCTAATGGGTAGATCAGTAGCCTCTTATGTCCTATGCCATGGAAAGCTGCCATGACCCATTTCCATAATCAAGTATCATCTATACCTTTGGCCATTAAGATTGTCACCAACATCTCAAAGCATTTTTTAAAACCAGAATTAATACTTTTTTAATGTATCAGCTGGAATGAGATATTATCCTAACAATATATGGATATGCAATAAAAAGAAATAAATCAAAATATTCCATACACAAAAAAGCAAATTGGGATTTTCTGTACACATTTCAGGTAGCTGTGACTATAATATAAATATAGTAAAATGTTAGTATTTTGTTATAAAAAAATATTTTAGACAACTATTCTCCCCATTCTAATGTATTTTCAATAAAATTGTGCAATTTTATTGAATTTGCTATTTTATTTGCTTTTAGCCGAATCTTCACCTGTGTATTGATAGTATTTATTGTCAATTGCATGTGTTTTAGCCGAGTTAGAAAATGTATTTGCTTTTACATCTACATATTATATGGAAGCTATTTAGGTTTAAAAATAAAAATTATCATTTGGAAAGTTGGTATTATTTCATTCTCTGCATACATAGATGATGGCATTAATAGTTAGTTCCCTACTGGTTACACTTTTTATAGATGATCAACTTCTCTCTTCTTCTACCTTTTATATTCATGTTATTGATAATTCCTGCTTCTTTTCCCTTTTATAACATTTTAAAGTGCCATTTTTTGTTATCAAGCTCTACTGCAAACCCTGACATTTGTCCCTTGATGTTTTCTACTTAGGCTACAATAACCAGCTTGTCAATGGTCACCTTGCTCTTCTCCTATATATACTCAGAATGTTCCCTTGATCGCGCCTCTGCCTCTGCCAAGGTGATTATTGACAGGCTGGTTATTGTAGCCTAAGTAGAAAACATCAAGGTACAAATGTCGGGGTTTGCAGTAGAGCTTGAAAAGACGACACACACACACACACACATATGTATATATACATACATGAATATACATACCACCCTTTCTCACTCACTACTTTGTCTAGAGCCACTAAGGTGCCACCCTGCCCTGCTTTCTACCTGACTTCAGACTAACATAGCTAACTATCTCTCTCTAGAGACACTAATGGGTACAGGACTAGGAGCAATGGCCTCAAGATGCAGCAGGGGAAATTTAGGTTGGAGATCAAAATGAACTTTCTGACGCAAAGTGGTCAGGCATTGGAACAGGCTACCTAGAGAAGTTGTGGAATCTCTATGCGTGGAAACTTGCAGAAGCAGGTTAGACCGACATATGGCTGGATGGTTTTAGTCAAGAGTTGATCCTACCTTGAGCAGTGGGCTGAACTAGATGACCTTGTAAGGTTCCTTCCAGCCCTACTTGCTTATGATCCAGTGTGATAACTTTCCGCAATTATCTTAGCCTTCTAGGCTGTACTCAAATCTCAATTTTTTCTTATACGCTTGTGTTTAGATCATGTGCTGTATGTACCAGGGCAAACCTCTCCCCCCTGTATGTCCCTCTTTTACTCACCCCTGTGAGCAAGCACCGTGTGCTTGCCCGTCCTGCTGCTTACTTAGAATGTCCCCTTGATCATCTACACCAGTGTTTGTTTCTCAACCCATAGGTCGCAACCCAAAAGTGGGTCACAAGAATATATGGAAGGGTAGCAAATAATCATGGAAAAACATGGAAAATCATGGATTTTTTCGTTTAAAGAGAAAAACATGGAAAACCACAGGTTTCCCCTTGCAAGCTGGCAGAGTTCCAGCCTGCAAGGGGCTGCAAGAAGCAGGATGAGGACAATCAGGCAGGGGGTGTCATGTTCATGCACACATGCACGTGACAGGCAGGCAGCATAGAAAGCAGCTCCTGCAGGTAGAGTCGGGAGGAGGGCAGGGGTAGGCATAGATGATGCATCGGGGACCCCCCAGATTTGTGCACCCACAGCGGGCACAGGGCTGCAGCCTGGCTGGACTGGCACAGGAGAGCAGAGCTAGATGGCGAGACTGCACCAAGAGTAATGGATGGGAGGAGACAGAGGGGAAGGGACTCACTGCCCTCACCTGCTCCCATTGCCACTGCTGCCCTCAGGCTGCAGCTCTACCTTGGAGGGGAGGCGGGGTGGTAAGCAGCAGAGCCGGAGTGGCAGTGGCCAGGCCATGGTAAAGCCATGGCCCGGCAGGCAAGCAGTTGGCAGTGGGAGGAGGCAAAAGCAGTGTGCCCCCGCCCCATCTGTTATTCCTTGCGCTGCTGGTGATGTGGCTGGCACGGGAGTCCTTGTGGCATCAGCAACAGCAATGAGTCTCAATGTCCCATTCCTGGTCCCATCCACTAAGCTGCAGAGGGGGCTCCTGTCTGTGCCAGTCTGGCCAGGCTGCAGCCATGTGCCCACTATAAGCACACACACTCCCCCACAACCCACACTCCCATCCCCTACCTCACATACTGAGGGGCTGGGGCCTGGGGACAGCAGGATGCTTTGTCCCATGATGGGAACTTGAAAATAGTCCCTGTTGCATGCATCCATCAGAACCAACACAGAATAGTGGACATTCTTCTGTGGCAGCATCCCTCCTGAAGCCTTGGGAGGGTTGCTGCCACAGTGTGTTGGCACCAGATTTATGATGCAAATACCTTGTTTCGGGTGGACCCAAACCTTCAGAACAACCACAATGTCTTTCATTATAGGCAAATTGTATTGATACACTGTGATAGCAGATAAGAATAATGCAGGCAAGGCAACCCTCCCACCATTCCTGACCCCCCCATTCCTGACCAACCCTATATCTACCAGTCCAAAAGCTGTCACAAAGGGGAGGTACATCTGGCCAGCATACAAACTTCATCCTGTGATTCTTTCTTGAATGTCAGATGTCAGCAAACTAGAGGTCAAGGGCCAAGGCTCACCCCCTAACCCCCTCCCCCTGCAGTGGGGTGGGTGAAATGGGCTGGTAGTGTATCCTCTATCCATGGTGGCCTCAGGATCACCCCCTAAGGGACCCTTTGCTGCTCTAAAATCCTTCCTTTTGCGTTCTTTTCGTCCTCTGATGACTTCATTTCTGGGCATCGTCTCCCTATGGTCATCATATTGTCCATGTTCTGTTCTGTCAGCATGTTCCCTTGTTTCCTAAACCCATCACATGCAAACATCTTAATTTGGTCATTTACTGGTGTCTTAATTTGGGCATGCCCTGGCTTCCTAATTTGGTAAGTCCACCAGAACCGGAAATCCCAGGGCTCTGCATTTGGGCATTGTGACCTGGCACCAATGCAGTAAGCCTGTCTTTTATTATGGAACAGTGCGGTACATCTTCAATTTCCCAGCTTGTTTGTGTATTAGCTTCATACACAGTGGGCCTTGAAGGAATATTTGGCACAAACAGGCTTTTAGAAACCAATTAACCTTAGCCGTTCCCCTGAACCATTATTTTAATGCACATCTACTTTACCTACAAGCCAATTCCTAAAAGCAAATTTCTAAATATCATTTTCTAGCCATCACAGTGCCCCCTCCTCCCCCCCACACACACGCCCTCCCAAGCTGACCCAAAGGAGGGTTTTTGCGGGGGTGGGAGAATTACCTGGTAGCCATTCTCCTCAGCACTAACCCTCTTGAGGGCCCAGGAGGATTCCTACTGCAGGCCAATACTCCACCTCCACTCCCTTGGAGGAATGGGGAGAGAGTAGAGGATTGTGGGGTAATGGGTGTCTCCAACATCCAAAAGAAATGTATATCCATTCAAGTTAGATCAGGACGAGGGAATTCATCCCGGTAGGTATGAATCTAATCTTCTTGCATAATAGCTAGCTATCTTCCATAGGAAATGTTGTGGAAGATTCGATGCATCCTCCGAAAGTAAAACTGGTCTCTCTCACGCTGGACCGGATAGTCTCCTTGAACTCACCCACCACACCTTAGATAGAAAAGGAAGGACCCAAAGATGTATACAGTCCTATGAGAGGGGTTGATGTTAATTCTGTGACTTACAAGGCTGGCTCCTCTTCGCAGGGCTCCACCATCCCCATTCCCAGCCCTCACCACACCTGATGTTATGAGTTCATTCATATCTGTTCTCCTCTGTGGGAGTCTCGGCCTCCAGCCCATCTTTATAAGCCTTTAGGTGGCCAGTTTCTGGTCCCTGGTCACTTGCCCCATTCTTCCCCGCATGGGTCCCAAGCTGACTGTCCTGCAGTTCATCTCTGCCCTTATTCTTCAGGGCAGAGTCACAGGAGGCAGACGCCTTAAACTCACT